GAGCCGGTTCTGGCCGGCGCCGGAAAATCGAGTTCCGAGGCGGCGCCTAAAAAAGGACATTCCAACACACATCTTTCTTTTGAAAATGCTGAATTTCTGCTTCCGGCGCCCGGGAGGCCTCCCGGGCCGACTCCGACCCCCGGGCCAGCGCCCGAGACGGCGCCCGGGCCGGACGCCCGAGCCGGCGCCCGGGCCGGCGCCCGGGCCTGGTCTGGAGCCCGTTCCGGCCGGCGCCGGAAAATCGAGTTCCGAGGCGGCGCCGAAAAAAGGCCATTCCAATACACATTTTTCTTTTGAAAATGCTGACTGGCGCCCGGGAAGCCTCCTGGGCCGATTCCGGCGTGCTTCCGCTCGTTCCGAATCGTGCTCCCGCTGCAGCGCGGGCCTCATTTCCGCTCTTCCGCTCGTTTCGACTCGTGCTCCCGCTGCAGCGCTGGCGTCATTTCCCGTGCCATGCCACGGCATGCAATGCAATGCTAGGTTGATACTACGCTTCGCGGTGCTCTTCTACGCCATGCCATGCCGTGCTGTACAATGCATCGCGTACCCTTTCGGGATCATTGCCCTGCTCGACATCCGACTGTGCGAGTAGAGAGGGGATCTGCGCCATGGTAAGGGATGGGAGGGAGGGGTAGGATGTCAGATATGACGCGAGCGCACCTAGCTTGTCTCTCCCCCTCCCCCACATCCTCCCCCTCCTCCGATTCCTCTTCCATCTTCCCTTCTAGAGGTATGGCGGCATCCCCCCGTCATTTGTCTCTCTGTGTGCTTCCACGCTCCCCTGATCAAAACAACTCCTCTAAACGTCGTTGCTGGAAAACTGACTGACAAATCCCAGTAGTCGGTACTCTTCGCTAGAGTGGCTGTTTCAGAATTGGCTGGTGGGGATTCGCGAAGCGTCAACAATTTGTTGTTCGTTGGGGCGCTGCGCCGTGCCACCGCCAGGCTGGCGGCGCCAGACTCCCTGTCCTCGCGGAGACCTTTCGCGATTTTCTTGCTTTCCGCGCCCCAGCGCGAGGAACACCACTCCGTCGACTAACTCGACGTCGGCGTCTCTGTCGCCCACACGTGCGACGAATGTTACGTGCCACTTTTTGAACACAACTTGAACTGTCGTCTTCGCGAAACGTTTTCAGGGCCTCTGATTCGCCCGTCGCCTTCTCCGCATGGACCTTGGCGGCCAACTCTTGCAACTCGTCGTCCGACAAATATTCGATCTCGTCGACCTCTTCGGGCACGATTGCTTCATAGAACATCCAGAATGCATACTTCTCGACATCTTTGAATCTTCTCGCAACCAAAAATCGTTGCCTTGGCCTGGCAAATGCGGTCTTGGAGTAGCCTCTTTCTGCTCCGTGAGTCTGTGGGGAGATCACGATGAAGGCTATCACTATTACGCCGAAAAAACAATTCTGAATCTCTCGCCGTCGTTGGCATATCATTATGCTACGCAACAAGTCCCACTTTGCCGATGCCCCGACGTTCCCGAATGTAGGTTAACCTAGTTAATGTCGGAACGGCTAAAATCGCAGCGTTTTGAACGGTATGGGTTGCAATCAAGCAGATATGAACGCGATAGAGCCTAATTCGTGTTGCTTGCCACAACAACGTAGGACGTGCCACAACAGACCAAGCAGAGAGAAAGAGAGAGAGAGAGCGAGTAAACAATGTAGAGGCGTGCCACGTCGCGTGCAACTGAACACGGGACAAACGGTATTTATGTACCGGCGAGAACCTGACATACCTCGGTAGGAAGCATACATGTGGATGATACCAAGACTCGGAAATCAGATATCGCACTTCGAAAGGTATGAAGCGGCTGCCAACCAGCTCAAAACAGAACAATGCAGCAAACACGACCTGCTTAGATTCACATTCAGACAGCGGAGTTTTTCAGAACACTAATAGATCTAAGTCTTCTCTGCGGGAAGGATGCGCTGCAACTCCCTACGGCGAGAATGTGCAATGATCAACAATCTAACTGCTACAGTCAGGATGCCAGACGCGCCTCACGATCATGGGCTCGTGCGGGCCATGCATCATGCTGTGCACGTAGACGCACGTGCACGAAAAACGCAAGAGCAAAGCCCCGAGAATAACCGAAAGAAGACCACCGAACGCTAGGGAAACATGGCGCTGAAGTGGGACCCTGTTGAAACGAGGCCGGCAAGGCGCTCCGTCAAAGGATGGACTGGCAACGTAGCTGTTTGGCTCTGACTCGGTCGTTTATGTGTCTGTTGTACTAGCCAAAATGGCAAAGTAACTGACTGCACAATTTCCACTCGTGGACTGGCAAAAGAGACCATCGTTTGTGTTGTCTTGTATCCAAAGTCTTTATCAGCGCGCGGGGATTATTGAGAGATATGGATGGTGTAAGAGTTAGCAGGCGAACGGCACGTTTGAAAATCATCAAGGAGAATTGGCGTTGGCAGCGGAATGGTTTGCGTGGCATTTGCGCAGCAGCCCGCGTTGGGCGATCCTGGTCCTGATGACCCGAAGTGTTGCATCCAATATGGCGTAATAGGACCTCCACCATGCATCCAAAAAACCCGAAGAAGATCAGACGATAGCTTTGAGGAGGCCCCGAGCTTTCTAAGGATGCCCCCCCGACAAGTCTTTCTGGCTCCCGATGGGGTCCAGACGCGTCTAGATGGTCCTGAACTGTAAAAATGGCCCGAAGAGGCCCACAATTTATTCCCACAAATTTCCAATAGCACACGAGTGGCCGTCACTCGGGCTCGAAAGAGGGAAAGCTAATCGAGACCCCCCCTGTTGGTCGATAGCCCCCACCATGGTCCCAAGAGGGGCCGAACGACGTCCTTTGATTGCCTTCGGAAGGGCAGGAGGTGAGCTCAAGACAAGCCTGGCGAAGCATAAGGAAATCTAAGCTACGCAAGGCGAAGGTGCGCCATCCTAGGTTCATGAAAGCTTACACAGTGTCACATCAACTCAACTGAAGCTTGCAAGTAGGATGCAGAGTAAAACAACGGCCACTCTGCGAACCCAATACCTCATAGACATTCTTCGTGTGGTAAAAAAGGTTTGGGGGATGGGCTACACTCTCGGCTTGCGATTAGCGTCCAGTCGGGCTTGCAAGTTATCTATCCGACGACCTCTCACTACCAACCGACCAACATCAATATCAACCTAAAGATTTCACGACCCGCCGGTCTCCAACATACCAGTCGATCTGAATATCAATGCGTGTATCGGCCTTGATCGCCTGGATCTCACTACACATCTGCGTTGTCTCGGGAAATTCTGCTTCCTTGCGTCAATTCTAAGATTCGCATTCCGATTCACATTGCATTGTACATTTCAATGGTATTTCTGCGATCGCACTTTTCGGATTCAGCTTCGATGCGCGTCTCGGTTTGCAAATTGACTTGCATGTCCGTTGAAATTTCCATCTGCGTTCCGATGTGCATCCCGATTATGTTGTCGATAGACATCTCAACTTACATCTCGATCCTCGATTCTCTTACAATTTCGATGACATTGAAACTCGCATGCCGATGTTCATGTAGACGTAACTTCGAATTGTATTCCAATTGCGATTCTACTCACCTTTCCATATGCACTTCGACTTAACTCTCTATCTACAAGTCCAGGTGCTTTTCGATTTACATTGCAGTGCCGTTACTATTCGCATGGTGGTTGTAATGTTATTTGACTTTCGATGTGCATTCCGATTGCCATTGGACTTGCATTCGCAATTCGACTCGCATCTCCCACGGGAAAACTGATGCGACAACCATAAGACAACCTGTGGGGCAATCCACGGGACAACCACAAAACAACCCACGGGACAACCGCAAAACAACCCTCAAAAACACAACGGCATGGCCCACGCGACAACCGCAAGACAACGACGGGTCAACCACGGGACCACCGTGGGACTATCACGGCGAAGAATCGCACAACCGGACGAGACACTTTTTGTGCGACTTCGTCTTAGCTGCGGCGGCGCATCGTCGTTCTCGCGCAGCTTCGCCTCGCCCGCGCGCGCGACGAGTCCCAAAGCTGACACAAACTTCCTGGTTGGGGTCTCTTCGTTTTCACCCCGTCACCTCCGATCACAGTAGTATGGTGTCTCGACGACCTACTTGGGATGATACCTGCTGTGCCCTGGGTGGTACCCTGATTTGACTAAGGCCCCACCACTGCCATTCTAACAGCGACTTATGCAGGAATCTTTTCTCGCTTGGCTTGTGAGAGCGCGAGATGCGTCAAACAAGAGAGGTGCTGAACCGCGACCCCACATATACACTTTTTTTAAATTAGTGGAGCTCATATCTACACATGCTGAATTCATTCCACAGATGCTGGAGTGCAGGGCACGATAATTATCAATGCAAGTATTCGCGTGTACATATTGGTCTAGAAATCGGATGTACATTTGCTGCGTCTCGATTTCATACGTGCGGGAACTTGGACTCATAAACGCTTGACTTCAAGCGCCGCGACTCGCACTCACAATTGCCGAGACGGACATCGCATATGCAGAACCGAAATGAAAGTACCTGGATCCGATTTGAAAGATGCAAACATCTATATTTTCAGACATACCCGTACATGCCAGACCATCGGCCTGACAAATCGTGGTGCTCGAACCAACAAATGTACAATGCGATTCGCTTGCAAAACTTGCAAAAAACGAGCCGGCATCGTACTGTCACGCATGCATCGGGGACGTATATACTGTAGCACTAGCAAAGGGAGTTCAAATGCGAAAAGCATGGTCGCAATCAGCTAAGTGAGCAAACGGCTCCGAAATGATGCTCATGCTTGAAAGCCTTTTTATGCGCTGATCTCAAGCGCCACCTACGATCGCACCCCACAGCGTGTAAATATGGTGTGACTCCGAAGTGATCTCTCGAGCTGTCTACCCAATTCATCGGACCGATCTCTGACCCAAACTACTCATACCTACTCCTGCTGCTGTCGCTTCTTATGTTGCTCTGTGCCTCCTCCGACGGGATGCGATGCGGACCAAGCTCCTGTGTGGCTCCCGTGACAGCAAGCACCTGCGGTCGTTCTCGAACACCGGCACTCTGTGCCACGTCCTTGCGGAATGGCGACGATAGGTGCCCGACAGAAGGATGAGGAGAAGGAAGAGGAGGAGGAGGGGAGGAGGTCGAGGAAGAGGAGGAGGAGGAAGAGGAGGAGGAGGAGGAGGAGGAGGAGATCGCGAGGGTGCTTCCAATGTACTGCTCTGGTGTCCCCTTAGAACCGGCTACTTCTAGGCTGATGTCGGCAGCAAGATCCGACCGAGCGACCCAAGGAGACGGAGCAATGGGTGCGAGGTAAAATCGCAGCTAGGAAACTGTGAGGAGGAATGTGAGCGACGCACAGCCTGTACACGGAAGAGTGCGAGGCAGGACCAGCCTGGCTGCCACCACGGGGGTTTCTGCGTCCAAGGGGTCGGGCGAAAGAGCATGTTTCAAATCCGCTGACCCTTTCGGCGTGGGTTGGGGGTCGATCCTGGGGTGGTCGTATCTGGGTGGTCCCCAGACACGCTTTTCCCTACATGCTAGCCCAAGGAAAATGTAGCAGTATCAAGCAGTGTCGTCATCGAACCGAAAGAAGCTCCTACCCTTGGATCTCTTTGCAATCAGGGGTGGGTGGGCGTCCTGAGGGTGGGTGCCAGTGGGGGTCCTGGAGAGGTGGTCCTGGAAGGGGAGTTCTCAGGTCCCCCCCTCCTTTCAAGAGGGCCCCAGAATACCCAAAGACCAGCCCAAGGGGTCCTCAAGAAGGGCCCGAGAGGTCCCCGAGATGGCTCCAACAAAGGCCCACAACGCGCGCTATCGCCGCGCTGGGGGAAGGCAAATCCTCCAGCATGATCCCGAGACCCCAAGGAGGCCCCCAAAAGGACCCTCCAAGAGGCTCCTGGACGCTCCGATTCGCGACCAAGCGGGCCGCACAGGTCGCGGGGGAACCCTCCACGAACCCCTCAAAAGAGCTGCCATCACCTCTGGAACACGACCCAAACGCAGTGGCAGGATGGGCCGACGGCCACTGTATTTTCGCACTCGCATTCGAGCGGACTTGTGCTTGCCAAATAATTGTGTCGTTTACCTTCATGCTTCGGGTAAAAGGGGGTACAAATGTACCCAACTGTCACTCCTCTCGGTGTACATCGGCTTCACAGCGTTCTCCCGGCACAGACTGACACTCAACTGCATGCGTTGCCAGGTTAACTTCTGGGCGTCGACAATCTCGTCCTCGTGACAATGAGGAATTCTGCCGGTAACATCAAAATAATTGTCGTGCACATCTAGGCCGCTGCCGATGGCAATGAACTCCCGAGCCAGTTCACGGGCGTAGAACCGAACCACAATGTCGCTCATTTGAATGCCTTCGTGATCGCTATAGATTGTGGAATCTATGTAAAGCACCTTGAAGACTGGGATCGTGTCGTTGCCTGGCCAGAAGATGACAAGCCGGGTCGTGACAATGTTGATGCACTCCCGCTCCTGGAGCTCGGGCATGTTGTTGATGTAGACCTGGCTCATATCTTTTATCTGCCAGTCGTACACCAAACGAAACATCTTACGAGGCACTTTGGGCCCCGGGTATTAGCCGATATCATCATCGCGGAAACAGGACTGGATGACCACCGCCACCCGTGCCCACTTGTCATGCTCATCCACTTGGTGTCCCTCCAGCACTTCACGCCATTCCGTCGGTCCTGCGATGAAAATTTGGGACCGCATACAGTACGCGTTGCTGAGCAGCTTCTCGAACGATTCGTGAAATTCGGCGCGCTCGTCGCTGGTGATGATGTCGTCCAATGGCCCCCCAAGGTTACCTATTTCGTGATTACCCGAGCCTTTGATGCGGCTTCCCCACCACTTTTTGATCTGTGCCGTGGGGTTAGTATGCCTGGCTGGCAGAATTGTCGTTGGGAGCGTGGTTAGGGCGACAAACTGGCAGGGCCAAACCACTCAGCGTCTCAACGAGGTGCACCCGTAGCTCTCTGAGAAGTCAGGTTTAGCAGTCCCGCTAGTGCGCAAGAGGTCCTCGCGCATCACTGGAATGGGTAAGCGACGTGGTGAAGGGGCCTGGAGCGGGTCCTGAGGGTGTTTATGCTGAGCTTGAACCTGTACTCTCAGCTTTCGATGCCTCTCCTTCGCGGTCAACCGTTTTGGATATCCCGTCGGCGATTGCGGTGCTCCCTTCTCAGATGCCAGAGATGGGCTGCAGATGACGGTGCTGGTGGGGCGACTGGATCTCTCTGGCACGCTTGCTGTTGGAGGGTTAGCAGGGCCCGGCGCGCTCGAGGTGCCTGGCGAGTTAGGAGCAGCAGCGTCGTGTGCAGCTGTGGCTGCGCCCTTGATGGCCGCGAGGGTCCTGGCGATTTCTTGAAGGGCTTGATCAAGCTGAGCTCGTGAAACTAATGCCAGTGCCATGTTTCTGGCTGAACCACTCGCTCAAGTCGATGACCTTGTCGATGCCCTGGTCGCTGACTTTCGCGCGAGCTAGCGTTTTAGGGCCCCTCCCTCGACGTTGCGCGTGGCCTCGCCCCTGAAGTTCATCAACCGCGCCGGTGTCTAATCGTTGCCACCCTTGAGCTCGCGATTGTTGGCGGTCAATTGTCAGCTCCTGGTTCTGATTCACCATTGGTTTTAAAGCGTTTATCTGTCGAGTCTCCCTTGGTCGCCATCAAACGCGCATCCAGCTGCCTCCGTCACGTTACGTATCAAGTGAGTCACGCGGACGTCCATCAACTTCTTGGTCTCGTCGATGTCGCTGCCCTGGATCATGGCGTCGTGTGCCAGTCCACTGGGCTGCGGGATCAGCTTTAGTTTGCTCTCGGTGAGAAGCACGTCTGCCTTGGTGATGGCGCCGCGGTTGATGAAATCGATCTGCGCGCAGGTTATGGTCATGTGGTTGACATCGAGCAGCCCGCTCCTGCCATCTTGTGGTATGTGATTGCCAAATGAGATCGGTGTGGGCTAAGAGGTAAGGGTCGAACTAAAAGTCAATCGTGGTGACTTGTCTTGAATGGCTGCGTTCCGCTTACACTTCGGTCGCGGGGGCCAACTCGTGTCCCCCTTCCTCGTGGTATTACCTGTTCCTCTCATGGGTGCAATCCCTCACCACTTGCGTACTTCGTTCGCGCGTCGCCTAAATTGTCACTGGTGCCCGCCTTGTTGCGTGCATCCATTCCTTCGTTCTGTAACCAGAACTGGCAATCTTCGAGGTGTCTCGCTTTGCGTAGTCCTCGCCTGCTGGCAATGTGAATCGCGGCTGCGGCGTCGCTTTTGAGTTCGGTGTCGAAGGTTACTCCAAAGTGCCTTAAGACTGACTTCGTTCCGATTGCAGCTGACGCATCCTTCACCATGCCGCCATGACTCCACTTCTCCTGCAGACAACGCTACTCCCGACTGGGTGGTGCTCCACGATTCTATCAGGTGGTTACCCTGCATCACCACTCCTTCACTTGTAAAGCCCCCCGTCTTCTTGAATCCATCTAGTCAAAGTCGGTTCATGCAGTGATATGTGAGGGTAGTCGCTGGTACTTGTGCGTGTATCTAGCCCTGTCGTGACTCCTCAAATATTATTTTCCTCGCTTGATTCGGGCCCGCCAAGATACTGCCGCGGGAGCCCGCATTTGTTGTGCCGGCTCCTCCCCTGAGAGTGATACGTCTGACGTATCCTGGGTAACGTAGCTGGCTCTGGCAAATGATGCCAGGTCCTGCTTGTGATCTGCATCACTTAGTGCTTCCTCGGCTTGCTCCTCTTAGGGCAACTTCTCTCCTGGCACCTCGCAATTCACTTTGCTATCTCGCCCAAACTCCCTCGTAATCATTTCAGCATGCCCCTGGTCGGCCTCGTGCCCCGCTCCTTCCTGAGTCCATCCCGCGATTCGGCGAAGGATCCGGATTGGCTTCTTGTCCTCTTCCCCAGTTCCTCGTCATCCTTTTACTTTTGCCTCCTACTTCTCCTGTTCTTTCCTTTCAATCATTCGAGGACAATGCCACTTCCTGTCAGGGTGACGTCATCCCCGTGCACGGTTAACCAGGGGCCCCCATGCTCTTGCTTGAGCACGCAGGGTGGCGCATTCCCTCAGGTGAGCCTGGTTCTTTGGCAGAATTCCACGCGTTAATTTTTCCAAGTGCTCGCCCGATCGCTGGTGCCGTGCAATGATTTGAACACTTTGCAGCATTTTCCTGGTTCGTGGTCCTTAGCCAATAGTTTCGCATGGATGTCCTTGTGAGCGGGCGCATGGACGTAGGCCCGCGTGGTGTCAATGAATCGCAGTTTCAGTCCACGCATTCTTCTACATACCTCACATCCGACGCCCTCAAGCTACTGCCATGGGAAATAACAGTCCCTGTGCCTTCAGTGGTGGCGTGGCCGCAAATCTGTTCTTGTCCTCGAAATTGTGTTTCGACTGTTGTGCCGCAGGTCGCGACCTGTCTGCAGGGCTAGAGTTGCCCCGCGTTACAGGTGTCAACCCATCTTGTCCCTAGAGGCGCTTCCCCCATCATTTTCCAGCGCTCACCCTCGTTGACTCTAAAAGAATACTTGATGCTCGTGAAACCTTTCTTTTTCGCCCTGGCTTTGGCTCTGGGGTCAGCTCACTACCAGTGACGACATCCCAGACTCTGTTCCACCCATCTTCATTCTGGTGGGCCACATGCATCCCTGGTCGGCTCAAGGCTTTAATCTAAGCTATGGTCCCGCAAGTTTCGCACATGGCTGGTGCTTTCATCCATTTTTGGTGGTCGCCGATTGCACGTTTCCATTGGTCGCTGTGCACATCCCAACTGGAAAATTCAATTGCGATCTCTTGCACTTCCTCTGAACTCGCATATTCTCTTGTGGCCGGCTATTTGATCGGCTCGCTGGTCCTCTACGATTCCTCTGGTGTTGCGGTCCCGCGTTCCTCTTCTCATGCGTGAGCTCCATCTGGGTCCCTGGTCCTGGTAGCATTGGGCTGCCGATCTTGTCGCTTTGTCTGCTCCATGTGGCAATTTGCTCTCCTGGCTCTGGCGGTGGCGGGTCCTTTCCGGTTCCTGGTTTTCGCGCATCTTGCATTCAATTAAGCAAATGCTCACCGTTCTTGTCTCTTTTAAGCCGCATTCGACACATCCGTCGCATCATTTGTTTGGGGGGCCTTTTCTCCCAAGCTTGGCCTAAGCGATCAGGATATGTCCCGAATCTCTTGGTTCTTCCACCTCCTGTAAGTTCGATGTGCCTGTGATATCCTTGATATTTGTTTCGTAGCTTCACTCTTATAAACGGTGGGTCGGTCATGGCCTTGTGGGTTCTGCGCTGCCCATTCTGTCCCGTGATACTCTGGCGTCATCCAGGAATTGCACGTGTAACCACGATATACTTCTACCTCATGATGACTCAACATTCCTCGAGTAGGTGTTGCTTGCCAGCTTGATGCCGGTTCGGGGTTTTCAAACGGGGAAAGCAGGCTGTATCGCCACTGTGTTCCACGCAATTCCATTGCCCACTGCAAATGTTTAAATCGGCATTCCATAATTTCCCTTGGTCTTCACCATTCTTGTTTAAAAAATGATTCCGCCGATCCGGCGTGTTTCTGAGAGCGCGGGCTTGAGCTCGCTCAAGCTTCGCTCTGTCGAGGGGGGGCTGACGCCGTGGCTGGCGCCGTTCAGGCCCGGGAAGGGGGTGGGGGGCGGGAAGCTCGCTCAAGCTTCGCCCTGTCGGGGGGGGGGGCGCCATGGCTGACGCCGTTCAGGCCCGAGACGGGGGGGGGAGGGCGCCATGGCTGACGCCGCGCAGGCCCGGGAGGAGGGAGTCGGAAGGGGGGGGGGGGGGGGGCGACGCCATGGCTGACGCCATTCGGGCCCGGAAAGGGGGAGGGGGGGGAGCTCGCTCAAGCTCCGCTTTGTCGGGGGGAGGGGGCCGACGCCATGGCCCCAGTCAGGCCCGGGAGGGGAGGGGGGGCTGGATTCGAGCCCGGGGAGGAGGGAATCGAGAGGGGGGGGTGGCGCGCGCCATGGCTGACGCCATTCAAACCAAGGAGGGGGGGGGAGCTCGCTCAAGGTTCGCTCTGTCGGGCGGGAAGGGGCCGACGCCGTGGCAGACGCCGTTCAGGCCCAGGATGGGGGGTGGGGGGGGGAAGGGGCGTGGCTGACGCCGTCCGGGCCCTGGAGGGGGGAATCGGATTGGGGTGGGGGTGTGGGGGCTGACGCCGTGGCTGACGCCGTTGGCCCGGGAGGAGGGGGGGGGGGGGCGCTCGCTCAAGCTTCGCTTTGTCGGAAGGGGGGGGGGGGGGGGGGGGGGGCAGACGCCGCGGCTGACGCCATTCAGGCTCGGGAGAGGAGAGGGGGGGGGGGCGACGCCGTGGGCGACGCCATTCGCGCCCGAAGAAGGCTCCCAGACGGCCCAGGAAGGGACCATGACGGCCCAAGAAGCCCCAAGGAGGCCCCCCAAAGGCCCCCAATATATTCAACAACTCCCTACAGCGCGCCCCCGGGAAGCCTCCAGGATGCCCCTAAAAGCCACCCGAGAAGCCCATGAGCGCCCCCCAAAGGTGTCATGCATCAGCTACGTCATCATCACATGGGTCTGGCTGTTCGCGCGAGACCGTCGCTTTCGAATGTCCGAAGGTTGCCCAAGCGAATTGAACATCTCTATCCTATGAGGTTGTCTCGAGCGAGCGCTCTATTTGTAAACGTGAAAGGTCATCCGTTGCAAGCAGAATCGGTCGCGCCCCGGATCGGCGGCACTGGCCAAAGGCCACTGCAAAGAGCTTCCTCTGCCGGCTACAACTTGCAAGTGTTGGAATGACCACGTAGCGCAGCTGCCTTGCCCATGGCGAGCTGTTTGCTTTTTGTTTCATCGCGGGGGCGTTGAAGTCCCATCGGTTCTCGTGCTCGTCGCGCGTGGTTAGATCAGTAGCTAAACCAAGTTTTTATCCCGTCTTGACTGCAATGCCTGTCACGCGTGCCGATGAGTGGACCTCGTTGACATGGGCATGCTCCAGCTTGACTCTCGCCGTGCAGTCTGACCTGCCCGCGATTCTCATGCACGTCGATGTGTGCTGTTTGCTGGTGGCCCATCTCGCAGTGAACACGGCCTAGGTGACTTTTCTCCAATGCCGCATCTTCTTCATCGGTAAAGCGGCTACCTGTTCTCCATCTGCCGTTTTTCATCTAGTAACTCCCCCGACGATCTCCTCAACCTCAAAACTTGGGTCGCCCTTGTCGAAGCTATCCGCGATTTCTAAATCCGCCCGACCTGTGAAAGCATTCTCAACGGGGCGGGTGCTTTTAAGTCTCAAAGTGTCATTGGATTCGATGATGATGCGGGTTCCCCTGTTGATGTGGTGCATGGCCATCTTGTCTGAGATTCGCTCTCCCACTTCGGGTATGCCTATGTGCGAATTCAAACCGACTTCTTCTCCGGGCTAGAACGTGTCTTTGCGAGGGCACCGATGAAATCTCCTTGGGACGTAGCCCCCCTTTCCATGGTATGGCTCATCAGCTGTTGCCTCACTTGTCGCCCCGACTTTCTACGTGTTGCGCTCTGGCAGTCACGCCAAACCCAAGCTGGGCTGAATCTAGCCTCGTCTGCGTCCCCTTGGCCTACATGTGACTCTAAACGCTCTATGGCCCGTGGTCTGCACTCAGCGCCGCGTGCTCTATGTCCGACATCGCCATGTGCGATGGCCTTTCGCCCGTCGCATCCGGCCGCGGCTGCCATCTTGATGTCGTGTATTCCCCCGGCAAGGTGCGGTCGCGCCCGGGTGCGGCCTCTTCCTCCGGGTGCCCGGGGCGCGATCGCGATCGCCCTCCTCTGCATCCCGTTGCTTGCAGAGTTGGGGCCCGGGTGCGAAGGTCGCCCCGTTATTGAGTTCGCCCCCTCAAAACAATCTGTCTTCGTTGATTCCTTTTCTCCGATGCTCTGACGATCTGAATGCGCGATGCTTGGTTCCAAGGATGAGTGCCTGACTTGTACCGTGCACTCCCGCAAGCACTCGCGATTTCCATATGGGCTCTGAACTGCCCCCGCCCTTCGCGCTAGCTTTGAAACGAGGCGCGCTCGCGCGACCCGTGTGGCGACATTCGGAATTTGTGTCCCCGATATCTCCCCCGAGAGGGCGCCCAGTCCGTACCTTCGGTGCATTTGTTTATCAGTGGCGAGTCGCGTGACACTTGCGCGGTGAACTCCCGCTTGTGAACGGCATCCACTGCGCGTGTAGGCGTCTTCACTTGTCCACGGGCTACGCGGGCTGCTCGTTCCGCGTCTCCGTCAGCCGCAGAGTTGCCTGCTGGATTTATTTCAACTCCCGCGGATATAGATGATGCTGCTATGGCCGCATTTTTTTAATTTATTTCCCCTTTTTTTCGGGCGGCTATGGTCGATTTTCCATCGCTTATCAGAGTTGCCTTGCTGTGTCCGGCGAATAATTTCATGTCTTCCATGGCGTCCGTCGGATGGCGGTCCACGCCCTGCTGAATGACAACTGAATTTCGTGCTGGTTTAGGTTCATGATGGTACATGGCCAATGCGGGGCTACCTGATTCTGCTCCTGCACTTGCTCCGGCCTTGCGTTTATCCCGCGTGAACTTACCCTTCTGTCACGTGTAATTCGCCGAAGTTAATTGCATTCATGACCTTGTGGGACCTCCTCCTAGTTGATGTTTTGTAACTCTACCCCTTCTTGGACACGGGTCGCGCGTTGTTCGTTTTGCAGTATCAGATTCTTCAAATACGAGCACGACTTCCACCTCGCTCCTCACTTAGCTATCAACCGCCGCGGCGCCCCTCTTGTGATCCACGCCTGTCTCGCTTGAGTGGTTCACGCGTAGTGCGTGCTGATTGGGGCTCGCGGGGGGGGCTCTCCTGCAAGGGCCTCCGCCTCGAACGACCATCCGAGGTAGTTGCCCCATCCATCTGCCGTGCTTCGTCCTGTCTTGCGCTCAGGGACATGGGCGGTGAACTGGAAGGCCCCGTCGTGGTCGCGTATTGCCGCCCTTTTGCCTGAGGCCTTGCGGTCAACCAATGCAACCATCCATGTTATCTTTGTCCAACTCAATCTGGTCACTGCTTCCACCATTCCCCTCGCTGGCCCGAATGAATTCGTAGCGTCGGCAACGTGTGCGGGCATTGTTACCTCGTCTCCCGCCTTCTTCTGCCCCGATGCAAATCGCTATTTCTTTTTTTCTCCGTGGCCGCGCCGTTGGCAACGCAGTAATGGCGGTGATTTCTTCGAGGCATCTGTTTGTCTCGGCTGGAAGTGAGTGGCCGCGGCAGGCGGCCCGTCAATGTTGTGCGGTCCTGAATCCACGGTTGCCACTGCCGTTTCTATACTTGACTCGGGGTTGTCTCCTGGGATAGCGTTTACCTTGTCAGATCTACTCCTTGCCTCGACTGGCCCAACTTCCCATGGCCCCCCTTGTTGCAATGGTTGTGCACTTCGCACTTCCAGTCTTCACTTTTGTTCCTCCGCCCCACTTCGAATGCCATTTTTTTGATTATCCTTGCGGGGGTCTCCCAAGGGCTCTCAGGTGGATGGGATTGCCCCGCGCTAACCTTGTAACGCCCGGGGTCCATTTCTGGGCGTGGCTGCCGAAAAATGTACCCGCTCTGATCTCCGCTCAATTGGCCCACTTCATTCCCGCTTTTTGTGCAATTGGCGGCCGTGTGTCCCTCTGACCACACTTGCGCCGCTCTGGCTCGCTCAGTGGTGCGTGCCCTTTCCCGCTTGATCCCTGTCCTGTATGTTGCCTGTTGCCTTGCCCGATCCTCTGGATCCTCCGTAATGCTCGTTGAAGCAATTGCCCTTTTGACCCGCCCCTGTCCCTCTTGCCCTTGGCGTTGTTGTTGCGTGGGTCTTTAGCTTCGCAATCCCAGGCCATGTGACGTGGTTTGCCGCACTTGTGGCGCGTCGCCTTTCCTTTGCCCTCTCCGTTGTTGACAGTGTCCACATCTCTGTCTCCCCAACTGTGGTTGTCGTTCCAACCGTTGTGCCCGTCTTCTGCAGCTGGCCACCCGTTGCTATCATCATCGTACTCTCCTTGGTGGCTTCCCACATGAGCGCATGGCTCTTCCCGACCTTCTTTTTTGCCGACTTAGTGATGTCCATGGCATCGCTATTTTTCGCGTCGGCGCACAATCGTCTCTTGCGGGCCCAATCCTCGCACCTTTAGGGGCAGTCTCTGGTCACTGTTAGCAGTGGGTGAACCAGCGGCCCTAAAGCAAACCTGCAACCAATCCTCGAACCATTTCCCCGCGCGGGTCATGATGATCGTGGGCGCCCGTAGTCTGATGGGGAGAAGGGCTTCATCGGACTTTCTATGTTCTTCCAGCCTCTCCATCCGTGCGCCCCTCTGTCGGAATTGCAGTGAAGTGTCATTCACCTTCTTGGGTGCCTCGGTGTTCAGTGCTGGATTCATCTTGGCTGATGGGTTTGCCCCGGCGACTGTAGGGCGCCACTTGTGTTCGCGTCGGCGATCAGTCCTTCGCTTTCCCTTGGGCTATACAATTTCGGTCGTGCGTTGACGCTTTCTATTTTTCCGAAACTACGCACCATAGATCTTCATCAAATTAGCTGGCTTCGTCTTCATCGGGGATGTCCTCCTCTTGCCCGTGACCTTCTTCCCTCGGCTTCCCCAAAGCAGCTCGGTTATATTCTGAGTCTGCCGCCCGTCCGTTCAACGTCCGTATAGTCTCCTTAGTCGCTGGAGTCGGGGGCGGCTCCGCCCATGGCATCCAGCTGTCAGGTCAGCGTCTTGACGGCCTCGCGGTCTCCATGCTGGTGCCTGAGCCCGCGCGTTGAGCAACCTCTCGTTCCATTCTGGAATTTGGCTCGATCTCTTTTGAATTTCTTCACGCGGACTGGCTTGTCTTCTTGATCTCGCTTTTGGGCCTGGTCCTTCGTGCAAATTGCTTTTGCTCGGCCCAATTGTATCCGCCATCTGGGCAAGGATGGCGTTTGTATCCATCTTTTCGGTGATGGTTTTCTCCAAGCTAGCTACTCTTGATCTTACTGTTGGGGTTTCCGTATCGTGTCTGTTTGCCCTGTTGGTTATGCTCATCAATGCTGCGTTGGACTTGCCGAACATGTTCATCATCGCCATCGCGCGCTCATGGGGCTGCTCCTGGCTATCTCTGCGTTCCTGTTCATCCAATCATCGCGTCGTGGTTGGCTTGCAATGCAACTTTAACGAACTAGTCGTCGCCCTGCGTCCCGGCATTTGTGAGGTTGTATACAATCCTTTCCTGTCTTGTTGTATGGCTTTCAGCTCCTGGTGTCGCTGTCATGGCCCCGCTCCGCTATGATGCGAATGTAACAGAACAGTGGTGCTGATAAAGCCTCTGTGGGGTCGAGCGGAAGAGGGAAATGGTGACCGCATTATGCGCCGCCGTTTGGCGGTTACAAACTTACGCCAAACGCCCGCAGTTGCGCGAGGCAGCGGGCCCATCTTGAAACACCTCCACCTCCCACTCCCGCTCCTCCTCTTTTTCCGAACCATCCTGTGGTGTCGGGTCCTCGTTTTGAAAAGACAGCGCCCGCGTCCTCCTTCCTTCCTTCTCCTCCCGCTGCCTCCCCTCCTCCCCCTCCTTGCCTCTGCCCTCCGCATGTCTCTGTCGGCGCATCCCTCGCGCGTTTCGTGGCCCCATAAAGGGGGCTCCAACTGCGGTCCCAGTGGCGGAACTCGCATGCGGTCCCCGCGCCCATTTTGCCACGGCCCTTCGCACGTTTCGTGGCTCCATGGGGGGTTTCAACTACGGTCCCAGTTGGGGAACTTGAATGCGGTCCCCGCGCCCACTTTGGCACACCCCTCACACGTTTCGTGGTCCCATAGGGAGCTCCACCTAAGGTCCCAGTGGCGGAGCTCGCATGGCGGCCTCGGACCATTTCGGCACAGCCCTCGCACGTTTGGTGGCCCCGTATGGGGGCCCCACCCAAGGTCACAGTGGCGGAACTCGCATGGCGGCTCGGGCCATTTCGGCACACCCTTCACACGTTTCGCGGCCCCGTAGGGGGCTCCACCTAAGGTCTCAATGGCGGAACTCGCATGGCGGCTTCGGGCCATTTCATCACACCCCTCACGAGGATAGTGGCCCCATAGGGAGCTCCACCGAAGGCCCCAATGGCAGGGTTCGCATGGCATCCTCGGGCGATTTCGGCACACCCCTCACGAGTATCGTGGCCCCATATGGGGCTCCACCGAAGGCGCCAGTGGCAGCTTCCCTCATGGCTCTCAAAACCCTCTTCTGCTTTTGCTCCTCGGTCAGGAGGGCGCCGTCCTCCTCGTCGTCGTCGGCGCCCGCGAAGACGGCCGCGAACGTGTCCCTGAGCATGTCGGGCTCCGGCGGGCAACCATGGATGGCCACGCACGGGGCGTGGGCGAAGACAAATGCGGTATTCACAACTGCGTATGGTTGGGTCTTTCGCCGGGCTAAGTTTCTTGTCCTCTTCCTCCTTTTCCTTGACCTCACAATTCCGCAATATTGATACTGCTCTCTTCTCTCTTGATGACGTCCGGAAAATATCAGGCCCCCCTCCGCGTATTGTTTTTTTACGCAAAGAATTCCTTGGAACTGTGTTTTCGCTTGGTATTTTTCAACAACAAAATCTAGAACATAACCTTCCGAAAACACCATCGGAAGTGATTCCACATTCGGTGTCGATTCGTTGATTTTTGGGTCGCAGAAATCCACTTGGTCGGGGACGTCGCCACGCCATGCTGTGTCATGCTACGCGTTGATCTTCAACACCATGCTATGCCATGTGATGCTATGCCATGCCACGACATCCGAGTGTGCGAAAAGAGAGGAGGTCTACGCCATGGTCGGGATAGGAGGGAGGGGTAGGACGTCAGATATGACGCGAGCGCATCTAGCTTGTCTCAACCCCCTCCTCCTCCTCCTCTTCCTCCTTCGCCGCTGTCTCCCTCTTATCCGCCTCCTCTGCCACCTCGAAGATGTTCAGCGTTTTGCTGTCCAACAGAATTCCCTCTGGAATCGTTCTGTTCTTTTGAAACATTCTACCCCCAACTGGCTGTTGTGCGGTATTCGCCTGTTCTGTTGCTCTCGCCCCTTTTTGGCTTCGTTTTCCTGTGCCAATGGTGCAGGGCCATGGCGATCCGGATACGGTAGGCGGCGCGGGCCCGATTCGCCAGAGACACGCTCCGCCAGGTCGGCTTCGCCCGGGACCCCTACCCCCTCCTGGCTGCCAGCTGAGGGCTTCCTCGGACGTTGCTTCGTCCTCGGACGGTGCTGCGTCCACCGACCTGTGCTGCGTCCTCGGACACTGCTGCGTCCTGCGTCCTCTGAGAGTGATGTGGCTTCAGACAGTGCTATTGCCGCGTCCTCGGACAGTGCTGCGTCCTCCTCTTCCGCCGCCTTCTTGCGTCCGTGGACACTGCTAATGCTGCGTCCTCGGGCGGTGCTCTGTGCCGTGCAGATCCTCACGGATGGCGCACCCGCCAGCCCCAGCAAAATCATCTTGCACGCGCCCTGTCCTCCAGGGGCTGCTCCGTCAACTTGGCCTTGTTGGTGACCGTGTGAACCCTGAGTGGCTTGCTGTCCGTTTAGGCGTTGCAAGTTGTCAGTTTGTTCACGCTGGCGGCGTCAACCGTGCACCTGCAGTCCAGCCTCCAGCCCCTGCAGGGACGAGGGCGGACGAGATGAATAGAGATAGTGCTCCCATTAGGACGAAAGAACGCCGCGCACGCAGACGAAATCCCACCAGCCCTTTGGGCGTGAGTGGTTTAGCGAGCTCTCTCTGTCCTCAACCCCCCTTCTTCCCCTCCGGGAGGGGTGTACCCCTCCCCCTACCCCCTCCCCCTGGGCCTGGAGAGGGGGTCCGGCGGGTCGTCAGGGGGGTCAATTTCGACTCCTGGGAGGGCTAAACAACGACGACCCTCACGAGGATTCTGGCCCCGACGGGGGGACGGAGATAAGTCCCTGTCCTCTTCTGTGAAGCCACAAACATTGATTTTACTAGGGTTTTGGCCCCATTTTGGACTTCTGAGGGGGCAGCGCTCTTCGTCCTTCATAGCAGAATCATTGATTTTACGAAGGTTTTGGCCTCATTTTGTCCTTCTCAGGGGGTAGCTCTTCTTTGCGCTTCTGAGGAGGTCGCAAGAGGCCCCAAGATGGCCCCAAGAGGCCCCCAGGAGGCTCCCAAGAGGCCTCCAAGAGACCCCCCAGAGGCCCCCAAGCGGCCCCAAGAGGCCCCCAAAAGGCTCCCAAGAGGCCCCCAAGAGGCCCCAAGAGGCCCCAAGAGGCCCCCAAGAGGCCCCCAAGAGGCCCCCAAGAGGCCCCCCAAAGGCCCCAAGAGGCTCCAAGAGGCCCCCAAGAGGCCCCACGAGGAGCCCGAACGACTCACACCAGGACGAGGCGCCCGAACGACTCACACCACGAGGAGCCCGAACGACTCACACCACGACGAGGGCCCCGAACGACTCACACCACGAGGAGCCCGAACGAGTCACACCAGGAGGAGGGGCCCGAACGACTCACACCAGGACGAGGGGCCCGAACAACTCACACCACGAGAAGCCCGAACGACTCACACCAGGACGAAGAGCCCGAACGACTCACACCACGAAGAGCCCGAACGACTCACACCAGGAAGAAGGGCCCGAACGACTCACACCAGGACGAGAAACCCCAAACGACTCAAACCACGAGGAGCGCTTTCTCTCCCTCCTCCTCCGCCTCGTCCTTCTCCCGCTCCCACCACAAGGAGGATGTACAAGGAGGCGGGAGGAAGGAGGAACAGGGGAGATATGCGGGGGCAGGCGGAAACACGCCTGAAAAACACGACTGTCGGCATGCTTCGCAAGAGTTGCTGTTTTGAGATGGGCTGGTGGGGATACGCGAAGCGTAAAGAATTCGGTAGCGGCTTGGTGACGCGAAGCGCCGACGCTCAAGCCAGCACGGCCGCGAATCCCTGGCCGCGCTCCGCATTCAAAATTCCCATCGGCACTCTGTCGCCGATCCAACCAGATGGCCCGCCTCGGAAAAGCTGGCTGCCTCGAGGAGTCGTTCATTCGGGGTCGCTTGCAGGCTTTCCCTTGTTCGCGTGACCGAATTCGCTCACCTTCCTCTGTTCGCGTGCCGCCTTGACCCACCCTCCTCCTCATCCGCACTCTCCTCCTCCTGCGCCCCCTCCCCTAGCCATTTTTCAGCTTACTCCAGCAAGGGGCCCAAGTCAAACGCGCCCAGCGGAAGCCTCCTCTATTCCTCCTCCTCCTCCTCCTTCACCAGACGCGCCCGGCGGATGCCTTGTCCTCCTCCTCCTCCTTCCCCTCCACCTCCTCTGACCCCCCTCCCTCCTCCTGTTCGCGTGACTCAAACCCACTCCCTGTTTCTCCCTTCGAGCGCAACTTTTGGGCCGGCTGTTCCACCGCCCTGGGATCGACCGCCCTCCCAGAGCCTCGGCGCGGATCCCCGCACTGTCCGCTCGCGGGCGTTGCTCCGCGTCTGGGGCCTTCGTACATTGGAACGGTATGTAGTCGAAAGCACGCTCGGCACAGGGATGCCCCGCCTCAGGTCCCGCGTGCTGCAGGCCCAGACCAAGAGGCACAGTGCGGCAAGCCTGCTCACAACGAGAAAAGCCTGTGCAACAATCCCGTGTCGCTGTGTTTGGGAGCCCAGCGAAATTCTTCGGGGTTCAATCATGGATGAACCACCTGAGGCTTCACTGAAATCGTGAACGTGACTGGTGAAAGCAACTCCCGCGCCACCCCGGAAATAGGGACGCTCTCCGTGCCAGCATGATTTGGAGCCATGACAGAGTCTCTGTCACAATCTTGCCGATGACTGCCTGACCTTCTCCCGACGGGTGGACCATTCAAACGCAACATGAAATCGATGGGCGTGCTACCTCAGTCCTGGTACTCTATGAACAAGACTCGGAACATATGGAAACGTATCCGCCACCGTGCCTCTGGCACGTGGAGTAGTAGCTGTGGAGGGGCCTCTGGTCAATCCTGCCTCCTACCAGTGAATATGCTTAGAGGATGTGTAAAGCTGCCATGGGCCCTCCCCTCACGGGGTGCGCCCAAGGAGCTCCCGCGGGCTCCCAAGGCCTGCCGTGTGACTTTGGCCCGAGCCTTTGGAGCCGTGGTGGGGACCCCAAGCCATGACCCCGAGACGGCCCCCCGTTGGAAGGGTCCATGGTGGCCCACGAGGGCCCCAAGCCTGCCCAAGAAGCTCCCTCCCTCCCTCCCTCCCTCCCCCCCTCCCTCCCTCCCTCCCTCCCTCCCTCCCTCCCCCCCTCCCCCCCAGCCATCGGAAGTCAAGGGGCAACCAGGAAAAGCGCGGCAGACAGGCCCAGTTCCTCCGAGCCCAAGTGAGGCCCCTCAGTGCAAGCACGGTTTGGGAGTATGCTCACGTTCACAAGGATTTGCGCTGCGCGAGCAGGGCAGCCCTGTGTAGCTCTGGGCAAGGCTCATCTGAAAGAGACGGCGTGAATACCTGAAGCCCCTCGGGAAAGACGGCGCCAAACCCTCAAAGACTCCCAGGACCCCCGCATCAGCCCATTGAAACAAGTGCAGATACCCCAACAGACATTTTACAGGCTTGGTCTCTGATTCTATGTTGCATCTGCCACAGCAGAAGACGGGCACCTGGTAGCAAACGAGCCTCCAGCGCCACGCACAGCACCCAACACGGAGCGACTGTGGCCTGAAAAGTCCGGCGCCCCTGGCCGCGCGACCACCGACCCAGAGCGCCTCTTAAGACAGTTTTTGTGGTGGGCGGCCCGAGCCGAAGCCACCAAAGCACATATGATAATGATGCTACTGATGATGATGCTGCTGCTGATGATGAGCATGATGATGGTGATGATGCTGTTTATGATGATGATGATGATGATGATGATGATGATGATGATGATGATGATGATGATGATGATGATGATGACGATGCTGATAATGTTGATGATGATGCTGATGATGATACTGTCGATGATGATGATGGTGATGATGATGATGATGATGATGAGGATGATGATGAGGAGGAGGAGGAGGAGCAAACGGAGGAGGAGGAGGAGGAGGAGGAGCAGGAGGGGGAGGAGAAGCAGGAGGAGCGGGAGGAGGATGAAGAGGAGGAGGAGGAGAGCGCGCTCCTCCCGGTCGGCATGTAGAGACCGTTGACATCGTCCAATCCAGCCCCGCTCACAGCGATGGCGGCGGCGGGCGCCTCTTGCCACGCGAAATCAGTAGGGCGAGGGCAAAGACGACGAAGGCCAGCGGGAGTAGGAGCGACAGGGGGGTGGGTGAGAGAAAAGGTCGACCAGAAGATCATGGGAAATGAGAGACAAGGTCATGGGATGCCAACTACGCCACGGAGGAACGTTAGACATGGACACGTGTCAACGCGCAACATAAGGATGGAAGTGTGTAGCATGATGATGCTGCTGATGATGACGATGCTGATGCTGATGATGCTGCTGCTGTTGATGATGAGGAATATCGAGAAGCGCCAGCAAGAGCAGTATGAGTGTAATCGAGAAGGGGGAGCAGCAATAATAGGATGGAGGTGGTGGGTGAGATGGATGAACGAACGACAAGGAATGACAACCGAAGTTGAGGTGGAAAATGAACATGACGAGGGGAAGGATGACCAGCATCATCAGCAACAGCAGCATCTGGAGGACCAGGACAATGCTGCATGATGGGACGTTGCCATAATGAAGCTACGCTGGCATGCGTGTAGGTTAGCTAGGGCGTGCCCAGTGTGCCTCCACATCGCTTGGCCTAATTCGCTCACCTGTGTAGCGTCATGTCGCCAATCATCGACTTAACTGGTCACTCGTTTGCAACTCGCACTCTTTTTTCGACGCAATATTGGATAGGAGGAGGGGGAGCGGACTCAAGGACACGATGACAGGTTCGGCTTCTCAATCGTGAAGTCTGCAAGCTACTTCAAACGCCGTGCCCATGAGGCGCCCAGCCATGCAGACGAGCTGTCTTGCAAACGATGGCGTATTTAGCCGGTCACTGAGCGGCGGCTAGCACAAAGCTGACAGATTATTGACTATACTGAGCCCCTTAAGCGTGATCCCGGGGCCGAACGATCCCAAGACGGGCGAAGAGTGCCGCGCATCTGATGTACACTGAAGTACGGGTATTCACTTGATGCTTTACCCCACCGTCGAGCCACAATGAAGCCCGACCGATCGCATTAGATCGAAAACTCTTCGGCCGACCTTCGGCGGCAAACGTGGATTGTCCTACAGCTTCCACGCCGAATAAGGGGCGGCAGGACGAGCGGGAGGGAGGCACAGGAGGAAAGAGAGAGAGAGACAGGAAGAGTGAGCAAAACATCCATGCTCAGAAAACCCGCGCGTATGTACACCTGTCTAGGAATCCTCCCACGGTGCCCGCACAACTTGCCCACACAAGAAAAAACAAACAATAAACGGAGGATGGGAGAACCGGCTGGTGGAAACGAATGGCGGACCAAGCGAAAACACGCTCACAGACAGGAGGCTCCGCGAATCGAAATGCCCAGCGCGCTACGAGCATAATCGGTAAAGGGTCCGACGACACCCAGGACAGGGCAGGACAAGTTCGCTGTGGTATGGCGGCGGGGCCGTAACCAAACACAGCGGCCGACCCAGACCGGCCGGGCGCCCGCAGGGGGGCGACGGTCGCTGGCCGAGCAGGCCTGGGGCGACACGCAGCGACCGTGGGACCCAATGCCGAAAAGACGCGAAGGACAGGCTCAATCTGCAGCGGAACGTGCGTGAGGAGGGAGAGGAGGAGCAAAACCCACACCAATCAAAAACGACGCCATCGCCAGCAGCGTTTTTGTGAAACGAGCGCTCCTCCCAGCCACGATGGGCAATGTTGAGCAGGAGAAGGAGGCGGAGGGGGACGGAGGGACGAGAGGAGCATCACCCTCGACAAGCGTCTCGGCCAGCTCACGGGTCCTCCGGCTGGCCTGAATATGTGCAACACAATCCAGACAGGGAGGAACAACACGTTGAAATCAGAGGTCTTTGCCTCGGGCGCCTGCCCCGCGGGGGGCCACAAGCAAGGTGACAACAAAGGACCGCCCCCCGACGAGGACGACGCGACGAGACGACCGCGACGGCGACGGCGAGGAGGGGGGAGGGAAATCAAGAGGAGAGGAGGGAGGAGAGGAGAGGGAAGGGGAAAAGGGAAAGGGGCGGTCCCCTGCCCTGCCCGTAGCCCCCAGGGGGAGGCTCGTGACTGGCGCGACTTGGCTGCCAGCCGCGGAATTGGAGCACATTGTGGTCTGGCGTTGCAGCGTGTCCTGCGAACGTGGCCACAATTAGACCGAAATCGATTCACTCTAAATCGACCCTCGGGGTCTCCCGGGGCATACATGCGGTTTGGTCGGGCACAGCTTCGCAAACACCCCCCACGCGCGGCCGCCCTCTCTGGGAGTCTCGGCCGTGTGCCGCCACAGCCGGCGGTCGACCGCACCGCGCGCCCCGGGGCGCGGCAAAACGGCACCGCGACGCCTCCAAGGGGGAAGGGGGGAGAAAGGAGGACGAGGAGGAAAGGACGAGAAACGGAGCAGAGAGGCGCCCTCACCTTCGACGGCGGCTCGTACTCAAAGACGGGGAACCTATCGCTGAAACTGTTGCTCACGGCGCCGCCAAGGCCCGGCGCGGCCGCGCGCGTCGGTGTCCCGTGTCTTGCCTGGCACGGCGTCGGGTGGTGCCCCTGTCCTGGTGTGTTTGGCATACTCGCCGAAATCGGGCGTCGTCTCTGGTGGCCTCGTGCAAGAGCTGGTCCATGACCGCGTTGGCAGTCTCTCAGTGTTCTGCATTCGGCTGAATTTGACACTGACGCATATCGTGCACCGCGCGGTACAGCACGTAGTTGATCACCGCGTGCTGTTGTAACTGTTTGTCTGTCATAACCGATGTAAGCATTCCCTGCGCCATAGCCTGCTCTGTCAGAGCCTATCCCAGCCACCTTCTGGACCATGTCTGGCCCTTGGGGCAGTGCGTGCAGTGCTGCACGGAATCGTCCGCTGCACATGTGCATCCGAGCACGCAGACGCGGCGACCCTCCAGGCTTCCAGGAGAGACCGCATTCGGCGGTTCGTTGTCCATCGGTTGAAGATGGTGCTGATCATAGCGGCCCGCATCCTGGGCGGAACAAGTTGTCTGAAACGCCGTAGATGCGGGGCACCCGCCGGGCCGCTCGGCCGGGCAATTCTGGCAGACGCCACCTGGCCACGCGCGCCCAGAGACGTCGCTCCACGCAGTAGCCGTCGCGTGCTAGGAGGCGGCCGGCGAACCATGCTTGAGTGCCCTTTCTGAATTGTCTGTCCTTGTGCTCCGTGAGCGGTCCGATGGCGACGCCGCCAAACGCGGCCCTTGCTGCGTGGATGTGCTTTCCGCTCCGGGCCTGCTGGTCGACCTCCGCCAGCACCGTCGTGGGGATGCGTAGATCAAGCCGTGCTCAGAAACGAACAACTCTCATTATTCGATCGGCGCGGCCTATCGCCGCGACGAGCTCAGCAGCCATTCCCTCCCAGTCAATGCCGCCGTCTTGTCGAGGTTCCTATGCGTGCATGCGGAGCATCGAAGCGCGGCAAGAGGCAAGATATCTCCAGCGGGCGTAGGTGCGAATGAAGTCCGAGATCCAGACCATGGTGCAAGGTAGACGACGAACACCAAAAACCTGGTCCAGGCGCCACTCGCCGCACAGCAACCCGTTCCCTGTCGATGACCTCCTGAGGCGGGGCATCAAGCTGGGCAACAAACAAGATCGTCGGTAAGACGTAGACACTGTACGCAACGAGCGCCATGTTGAGGCCGAGCTCGATGCAGCGCCAATCGCCCAGACGACGCTCCAACTTCGACTACGCGGGCTTTCGGGGATGACACCGCCATGGTGGTACGATCGTGGAGGACGGACCACCACAAGAGCTTCAACACTTTTCGCACCTTCGAGTCGGTTTCAAACCTGGCGCTAAACCTCTCGAAAACACTGGTCGACATCGAACAACTTCAGGAGAGCACAAGAGCGGACCAAGCGGCAATCCAATTTACGTGGGGCACGACGAGCAAGTATCTCGGGCAGTACATCGGCCCAAGAAACCAGAACACATCGTGAGACAAGCCGCTAGACTCGTTTGCAACTCGCACTCACTGGTAGAAATAATCATGCGCGAAAAGATGTCTGCTCTTTACGGCTCCCTCTGGGGATGGCCAAAGCGAGTGTGATGGCAGAAATACTCTTTAATAACCTAAACTATTGGAATCTCGATTGAGACAGTGCTACAAACGGGCTCTCTTTACGTCGCTGGAATACATACTACCACCTCCCTGACCCAACTTAGATCATTGTGCCACGGAATCCGCTTACGTTCGAATAGGGAAACGACTACAGCCTTGATTGAACCCCAACTGTTTTTTCGCCGAATATGCAGCACACATATATAAAGCTCCTCGTATATAGAGTCGACGGAAAAGTCAAGTCTGGGGTAAACCAATTATGTAGTCGATCCCCTGCTCGAACGTATAGACAGTCTCTTACGTTGCAATCAACATGTGAGATTACACCTCCATCTGCTCCTCCTGCTGCTCCTGTTGATATTTGGCGACGGCCCCCCCGCAAGAGTCACTGAGGAACACAGACAAAACATGTCTTCCTCCTCATTCTTTCCCTCCCTCCCCCGCCCCCCCCCTCCTTCTGCACCTCCTCTTTTCACTCCTCCTCTTCCTTCTCGTTGTCGTCCTTGTCCTTGTCTTCCCCCTCCTCTTCCTCCTCTTCCTCCTCTTCCTTTCCCTCCTCCTCATCCTTCTTTTTTCACGTTGTACGGACGTAGATCTGGGATCGTTGAGTTCTTCTTCTTCTTCTTCTTCTCCTCCCCCTCCTCCTCCTCCTCCTCCTCCTCCTCCTCCTCCTCCTCCTCCTCCTCCCCCTCCTCCCCCTCCTCCTTCTCCTCCTCTTCCTCTTTCTGCTCGAGCAAGAGCGGGGCGCTCGGCACGGGGGCCACGGGAGGCCGGGGAGACACACAGCTGGACCCACGCGTCGAATAGAGAGGGGCTGTACGCACGATGGCACAACGACCTTGCGCGGAGGGCCACGCGGGCCGCCAGCGTGGCCCGCCGCGTAGAGAGGAGGGCGCGTACGTGCGACCTTCTGTAAGAAACTTGCGCGCAAATGTCTGCGCAGTCGACCCTCCGCCTCCTCCTCCACCTACTCCTCCTCCACCGCCGCCTCCTCCTCCTCCTCCCCCTCCCCGTCCTCCTCCCCAACCTCCTCCTCCCTCCTCCTCCTCCTCCTCCTCCTTCTCCCGTCTCCTCCCCAACCTCTTCCTCCTCTCTCCTCCTCCTTTCCTTCCTCCTCCTCCCGTCCTCCTCCCCAACCTCTTCCCTCCTCCTCCTCCTCCTCCTCCTCCCCGTCGTCCTCGTCCTCCTCCTCCTCCTCCTCCTCCTCCTCCTCCTCCTCTTGCATCGCTCACGTGGGGCCTCCGGAGGCCCCGCGCCGGATGCACCTGCGGCAGCCCGGCCTCGGCGCGGCCGCAGGAGTGCCGAGCGCGCTGGCGAGGGGCCCGGCCACGCGTGTGCAGCCAGCTCGCGCCCACTGCGCGGCCATGGCATGGCCGAGCGCTCGGAGGGCAGCTGGCCACGTGTGCAGCGGCTCCCGTCCTGTCCAAGGCGTACCTTTTCCTGCGCAAGCTCTTCGGCACCGCCTGCACCCCGCACCCTCCGGCCGCCTGAGGCCCCGCCCGCCCGCGCCCTGTCTCCCCAATTGGTGCTTTGCGCGCCCCGCCTAGCTCTTAACCGGAAGAGGCCCGCTCTCGACCCGCAGACCAAAAAAGTGTGGCGGCTCCCTTTGCAGTCGTCCGCCCACGCCGGCCGCGTCACGTGGCATCGAGCTTCCCAGTGGCGGTGGAGGCCGGCGGAGGCGCGGGCGCGGTCGCGGGCGAGCCGCGAGAGCGCTCTGGGAGGGGCCCCTCGCCACGCGCCAGAGCCAGTGCCGGTCGTGACGCACCTGCTGGCCGGGCTTTCTGGGTACCGCTATGATGTGAGGACCCTCCCACTCAGACGCGGAGGTATGTTCCCCTGTTCAACGGAACTTTGGCCGTCTTCGTCAAAGACCCTCCTCCTCTTCCTCCTCCTCCTCTCGATTTTTCTCCTTCTCCTCCTGTTTGCTGCTTCTGCTAACCTTCCTTCGCCATCTCCACCGCCTCGGCTACCAAATCGAAAAACTGGGACCTCAGGGACGCAGCGGCTCCGAAACGACGTTCGCTGTGACGCTTTCTCGCTCGACAGTGGGTGGGAGGGAGCTGGCTTGGCGATCGGAGAGAGTGATGAGTCAGGAGCCGCGAGCGAGCAGTCAGGAGTGAGGAGGACTGTGGCTGCTTTTGGCCGAGGACGCTCGGCTAACCTGTGACGCCCACGCTCACTGGACGACTACAGTAGGAGCTCGACCACAAGAAACCTTTCTCACAAGAAACCCAACCCTGAGAGCCCAGGACGATCACTGATCTTTGGTGTGGGACTGCCACTCTTTCCACAGCAAAGCCATCGAAACCCAAGAGACCCAGGGCACCCTGGAGGCAAGCAGGGTGCTTCTTGACATGGGTTTCCACTGTAACCTGTGGTGGGCCGAGGGCGATTCAGAGCAGCGGAACGGCAGGGGACCCACACCTGGCCGAGTCCCGAAAGCACGGAGCCCTAAACTTTGGACGCCTCGCTCTCGCTCCCGCCGCCCTCTCCGCTGGCGAACGCGCCGCCGTCTCGCTTTTCGCTGGCTTCCGCCGACGGCGAGGCTGCTCCATAGGCGAGGCCTTTTCTTGAGAGCAGACAGTCCACCCGACACGCGAAATACACGCACCAAAAGAAGGAATCGAAGAGGGCAAGGCTGTTTAGTAAACGCCAAAGGCCTCTTAGTAAACGCCAATTATCAGGTCCGGGTGTTTTTTCCTCCCTTGATTTTCTGGAGCGCCCCACCTGCTGTGGCGTCATCCTCCTGCTGCTGCTGCTGCTGCTCCCTCGCAGCGGGCAGCAGCCACCCACAGCAGCAGCACGCCGCGGTGTCAGCGACACGGCCAGAGCCGAATGGGGCGCCTCCTCCGGGGCTGGCTCGCGCTGAGCTGGCTCGGCGGCCTTCTCGCCCAGCTCCTCGATGGCGACCATGGCGGCACGCGGCCGAGGCGCGGAACGAGCGCGCTGCCCCCCCACCGCTGGCAGGCACGCGGCGAGCGACGAGGCGGAGGAGGGTGTTGCGCAGCCTCAGCTGCTTTCCAACGCGTGCGTCAGAGGGGCCGTGCAGGCTGTGCTCGCTCGGCCCTTCCGCGTTTGGTGCCCACAGCGCTGCGGACACGCTCCAAACTGCTCATAAGCTGTCTTATCCAGGGTTCAACAGACAAGGGGGCAGCCAATTGCGGCGACTGTGAACAGAGGACAAAGAGGAAGTATAAAGAGGACGATGTAGAGACCTCGGACTCCTCGACGTATCAAAATGGCATTAAAACGGAAGCGATTCACGTCCAAGTTATAGGCACCCTTCGAGGATAGCAAACCACAAAGAGAACGGCGACGTGACAGACGAAATAGCTTCATTCCAATGCGGCGGAAACGTAAGGTCATATTGACAATAATGGTGGTCGGCGCTGCTCCTCATCTTCTATTCGTTGCGCAAGGCTTGAACATCGTACCCGGCTCAAGCGTAATCGACAGGCGCCTACAATGCAACGGTGGCGTGGCCAATGCACTTGATGGTCATCGCGACGGGGACCTTGCTGCTGCTGCTGACACGCAGTGTTGATGAACGTGGTGATGACAAGGATGATTTGACAGTGGCGCCTGTCAAAAGGTGCCTGTCAAAGGACGCCCGCGCCAGGCGTGTCGTGCCCTCGATGATTGCTCATGAGGAGTATAAGGATGATGATGAGAAGAAGGGGAAGAAAGAGGAGGAAGAGGAGGAGGAGGAGGAAGAGGATGAGGAGGACAAGGAGGAGGAGGAGGAGGACGAGGAGGTGGAGAAGGAGGAGAAGGGGTGAGAGGGAATGAGAGGGAGGGAGGAGGGAGCAAGAGGATGAAGAAACGGGAGGAGGATAGGGACGGGGAGGAAGAGAAGAAAGACAAATCTTACAATGAACACCAAACCATCCGTTTTGTTCGTTACGTGGGCGCACCCCCAAGACCTCTCGACCCTGGAAACGGGCCTCCAACGGACCAATCTGTGGAAAAACTTGCCGTCACAATTTTTTCGTGACGCCGGAGGTCTGGGTCCTTGTCGCCCCTGGACCTCTCGACCCCTTTCCAGGGGTCAAATTTCTCGCCGCGGGTCGTTGCCTGCTCGCCCTGGGGCCCGTAGACGGGCCCCGAACGTCGCAGTTGGGAGATAGCCCTGGGATTGAACAGATCACGAAGCCCAAGTCTGGGTTCCCGCAGGGCCCCGGAGGTCTCCGGATGTCCCCAGATGTCCCAGCGGAGGTACCCAAAGGATCAAGAGAGGCCACAAACTAGTGAAAACCTCGAGCCTGGAGCTTCCTCCTCCTCCTGATACTGCGCCGTCCTCCTCGTCCTGATGGGCGTTGGGGGGTGATGACAAACACGATGGCGACGACGAAAGTAATACTATCGATGCTTCTGATCTTGATCTGTGATGGCGACGGCGATGGTGATGATGACGATGATGATCATGATATGGAGCTTCCTGGCAACGGTGGTCGGACCCACACTTTTTTGTTGTCGGAGGTCCGCGCGGATTTCTTGCGGGTCGGCGCCCGACTTTCCCTCCCCTCTGGCGCGCGGAGCGCGCCAAGAGCGGCGGCGCCAAACGCTCCGCCTGTGTGCTTGTGTGGGTTGAGCCGCCTCCTCGGTTTTCTGGCAGTGCGCGTCTCGTTTGGTTTTGCAACTCCTCCTTCATACCACTCACCGCTGCATTGACAGCGTGCACGTTGTGTGCACTGTGCCTTTGATAATGCTTGATCGTAATTAGCACTTCCATCTGCTGCTCACGCCTGAGGATCCTCTGCGCCGCCGACTTGAAAGTGTTCGTGTGTGCAGCGACGGTCCAAGGAATCCGCGCGGACCTGCGCAAATTTCTGGATAAGCCAATCCGTCCACGGCGACAACACAACCGAAAACCAAACGAACCGACAACGCGACCGAAACTGACCGAACCGAATCTGTCGAACGCAACCTAGAAAAACGTAACGACGCAACAATGACGCAACAACCGGCCGAACCGAACCGACCGAACGCAATCGACTACCACGCAAGCTAACCGACCGAATCGCGAACATCCCTGGTATGCCGCTGTTGTTCTTCGATGCTACCCTGGCCAACCCTCCGGCCACCTCTCTGGCCAACCTGGGCCACTCCTCCTGACCAACCCCACTGGCCAACCGTGGTCAGGGTAATTCATCCCGTGAGATATCATGTTTACGCCGTTTTTGTTCCTCGATGCTCTGCCGTCAGCTCAGCCCCGACAGCATGCTGCTCCACCGCTCCGCGGCAGTGCCTCCGCCCCTGCCACCGCCTCCAGCCTGCCGGGCGCCGCCCTTTGAGCCGCCGCCCTTCGAGCCTCGCGAGGCGACGGTCACGACGACGACCGTGTCGACGAGGCCGAGGACGAGGACGACTACGGCGACTTCGAGGACGACGTCGAGCACGACGAAGAGGAAGACCGCGACGATGAGGACGATGACGACCACTACCTCCTCTTCTTCCTCGGGTTTCCACCGCGGCTGGGGAACGAATGGTCCAATTGCGCGGCCAGGCTTTCGCCCGACGTTTGGCCGCACAGGCGTTTCCAAAAAGGTAGGGGTCACTCAGATGACACGACATACAAGCGCAACGGTCGATGGGATCACTCTGCTGCCAGGCTGCGAAACCGATCAGGCATGGCAAGCAATCTCACTTCTCCACACGAGGCCCGCCGATAAACTACAGGAAACACTGGACTGCTCGGTCTGACACGCCAATGCCAACAAAGAAGCATGAAACATGCGCACTTGCAACCATGATCGGCCACCGTGCCCCATGACATGGTGAGGCTTGGTAGAATGCCAAGGGCTGGCTGGTAGGGCTTTATGTCAGCCTTCAAATGGACCCTCCCTCCGACACGCAGAGCACCGTGTGCGCCCTCCCCCTCTCTCCAGAGGTTCCCTGGACGTGCCGACGCCTCCTTGGGGCTCTCCAGGGCTCCCAAGATGGCCTACGAGTAGCCAAAGAGAGGCCAAACGAGTCCACTGGCCAATGACGGTCCCAAGAAGCGCCGCAGACGACCAAAACGGCTTGAGCGGGGCCCGAGACGGCCCCAATACTACCCAACACCCGAGACGGCCAGCGCAGCGACGTCTTTCGCGGATCAGAATCAGACCTCGCACTCGCTGGGGGTAGCGGGCTATGAAGCTGTCGCCATCGTGGCCACCCTGGGATGTCCAACGCAGTTACGCGGATCATAATGGTACCTCGCCTCTGGGGGGGGGATGGCAACCTGCGAAACTGTCGCCGCTTTCGTTAGCTCCTGGGACGGCCATCGCAATGACGTCTTACGCCGATGAGAATAAGACTTCGCTTTCCCTAGGGGCTGCG